AGGTGTTGAATCTGAAGTAATATCCTTAATAGTTAGACCTTTAGTCATCGTTGACCGCTAGATCTGGAACAATATCTTTAATAATTAAACCTTTAGTCAGGCTTTTCTAAGTCTTCATATGTTTAGTTCTCTTGAAATATCACATCTCTACTTCTTAACACTTTCATTCCCTTTGGGTCCCATAACCTGTATAAAAAAAGCAACGAAGATACATGGCATGATTTTTGAATCAAGCTTTTGCTTCGTTCTTTAGATACTTTCAAATGTGAGTATAAGGGTTTTTTTTTCCCCCCAAAACATACCTTTTCTAGAATTTCAAAGTTCAAAGGAAGTGAAGTTGATCTATTTAATAAGTAACTAGAAGTGCAAACAACCTTTCTCGATAATGACTTGGGCAACTTCACCATACTGAGCATGCTTCTAACTCTCTCTATGCTGAATGTCACATTTCTTGCAATAAGCATTAAACTCCCTGAAAGTATACTATCTTCCATTCTCTGAACGAAGACATTTTAACTTTTTTCATGTCTCACGTTTTATCATAGCATGAAACTACTTGAAAATTTTCAGTACTTGATCCTTAGTCATTAAAAAATACACTCAAACCTTCTTAGAATCATCATCAATAAAATTTAGAAAATAAATGTTACCACTTAATGATTCCACCTCCAAAGGATCACATACATTAAAGTGAACCAGACTTAACAACTCTAATCTTCGTACTAATGAAGAGTTGAAACAAATTATTCATTATTTGTCGTACAAACAATGATTACAAGGATGACTCGTTGTATCCTTAATAGTGATAAACTTCTTCTTTATCAAGTTAACAAACCCTTCTTACTCATATTACCAAATCTTTGATGCCACAAATACTGAGACTCTTACTCCACTACATTTATGCATTCTAAGTTGATCTTTACTCGATTTCTATATAAGTTACCACAACGGTTTCCATGAGCAACAATCATAACTCCTTTCAACATTTTTCATGTGCTATTGTGGAAGCAGTTTTTGAAACCCATCAAAGGTTTGTATTGAAAGTGGATTCAATCAAAAATTTGACATATGTCGAACATCCTTCAGAGTAATTATGCACCCTACATTGTTACTATTTGAACATCGCAAATACCTACAATCTTAACAACATTAGTGTTCCCCATCTTCATAGTGTCAAAACCATTGGCTTTATATGTTGTGAAGATGTCTCTTTGAGGAGTGGCATGACAAGAAATTACAATATCAATTGTCTATTCAACTACTCCACTCAACTCTACAAAGTATAGCTCTTGTTGAATATATGCAACTGTAACATCCTCATTTCAAAATGGTATTAGTAATGGATTATTAATTGATGCTACATGATGTTAGAAAGTGTTAAGGAGGATTTTAAGTGTTTATTAGAGTTTTGGTGCAGGAGAATCTCGCTCAAGCGAGATATGCCTCAAGTGAGATTGTACGCCCAGGATTATCCCTTTCTGGAGCATTCTCGCTCAAGCGAGACTAGATTAGATTGTCCCAACTACCACCTCGCTCAGGTGAGTTGGAGCCATCAAAGCGAGGAATCACAGGAAAATCTGGAACTCTTTGGACACCCAGCTCGCTCAAGCGAGAAAGGCCTCGCTCAAGCGAGAATATCAGAAAATGCATAAGGAGCCACTGTCTGCATAGCTTGCCTAGGCAAAAACATGCAAGGTCAGGGTTATTTAAGGAATCTTAAATGTAAAATTTTCATTTCTTTCAATCTCTGTCTCGACTTCTCTCGTTCTCTCTGAGTTCTCACTCCTTTTTCTTCTAAAAATCCCCTCCAAACTGCAATTGTTAGCTGTATCCAAGTTTGGGTATTCGATCTAAACAACTCTAAGTAAGTTTTCTTGAGATTATATCTCGATTTACCTATCGTTATTGTCCAAATTCTATTTTTAAAGGTTATCTCGTGTTGTATAGGAAGAACCTCCGTTCTAAGCGATTCTCTTCATCAAACCCCTTTTTGATCTTCATATAAGGAGAGTTTAGTTCTATCATTATAGCATAGAAATATTTATACTTTGAAACCCTATTAGTGTTTGGTTCTATTGTGAACATAGATGAAAATTTTAAATATTATGATAGGTGGATGAAGTATATTTCTCTGACCTTAGGAGGTTCAATTGATGATAACTGATTAATTTGAGATATTATGAAATATAATTGATTGTATTATTTGATTTGGGTTGAGTCCAGAGGTATCCGATCTCTGGCAAAATTGTTTAGTTGGTAGAGGAATTATATGTGCAAATCGTATGATGGTATAATTGTTGAATTTGATTGGAAGTCGAATATATGTGAAAATGAGTTAAATGATGAATAATCAACATAAAAAGTATATTTACTGTTGTGAAAATATTTGAATGGATTTGAATTTAAGAAATATGGAATTTTGATGAGATCGTGAAATTATGAGATGTGTGTTCACAATGCAAGAATTGTAGCTAATAAATTGATGTGATTGTGATACATGTATTGTGACACATCAACAGGTGTGTTCACAATATATGTCTCGTAACACATTGAATTAGATGGTTATAATACGTGTATTGTAACATGCTGATCTATGAATAATATATGAAGTGATGAGAAAGGAATTAGTGTGAATAGTCACAGCGATACACTGAGAGTATAGAATAGGAAGTCGACTATGGAAGTTTGGGGAAAACGTAGGTGATGGATGACATTCGCTAAACGTGCACGACTTATAAAGTTGTGAATGCATCATATGGCCACACATGTGTTTCCTTACTAACACTCCTGACTGTACTTTTGCTAAGGGGCCCTATAAGTGTATACGTTGTATCCGTATACATGGGTTAACTGGCAGCTATTCACCTATTGTGTAAGACCTCATGAAATGCTGGAGGCAACTATGGAATGTGATCACATTGTATAAGAAATTGTTGAGTTGAAACTGAAAGGAATTAAACATGTTATTGATATGTATAAGAGTGATGAGATAATTGGATCATAATTAATGATGTGGAGTTTTATTCAAGTTGATATAAGCATTATCATAGAATGTGATGCACTTGAACTATAAGTGATGACCGGGTATTTTATTAAATCTTATGTGAATATGATATGGAAGTTTATCGAGATTAATGTATTTATTTTGCATATGGATTGAAGAATACATTTTCTAATACACAAATTATACTTGTTGTTATGTTTTAATGATAAGAAAGGAACTCATCCTTACAAAATGTTTTAGGTAACAAGAATGACAATTAGGAACAAACTTTCAATGTTTGGGCATGGATTGAAACTGCTCTTAAAAAATGTTGTTCATGATGATTTTGTAATTAAGAATTTTACATTGTATACATATATATATTTTGGTTAATAGTTGTAAAGAGTATGTTTTCATATATAAGTATATAATTTAAATTCAGTATCTATACACTTTGTATTATTTTAATTTGGTAATATTATCCAATTACAGTTAGATTCTGATTCATTTACTGCTTAATATGTTTGAAAGAGAAAACTTTAGATTTCTCACATTTGAGAATACCCGATTTGGACAAGAACCAATTTATTCTTTTGATTTGAAGTTGGAAAAGATTTAAATTATTAGTTTTAATTAAGAAATCAACAAAATAAGTTGATTTGTTATAAATTATTATTTATTTTTCAGAATTTAAAAAGTAGGATGTTACAACAACCACCTCTTCAATGATTATAACTTGTGTCTTTCCACCCTTCTTTGCTTGGGAGCTCTCTGAGCATAATAACTATATATAGAAAATCATAATATTAGGCATGTGAAATGGTCAAAGCTCTCCTTTTTTCATTCATTGCATGTGCATAGCTAGACATATTCAACATAAAACAATTGGATGATATTGTGAAGAATGCTCAAAGCAAGACTAGCACTCAAAAAGAATGGCAAAAATCAAAGTTATTTTTAAAATCCATAAGCCTTATTTCTTAAATTCAAGTTTCTCATGGACAAAAAACCAAACTTATTTGTGGAGCTCTTTTGAAGAATTTGACCAGCATATGAAGACCCAGTTGGCTAAACATATTGCGAGTGTTTATAATTATTCATATGTTACAAACAAGTCTTCACAAACTTGTGATCATGATCATCAAAGTTCTTCAACCTCTCCAAATACTATGATCAGTCTCATTGGACTATTTCATGAGTTTGTTGGTCCTCACATGTTTAATAGTCGAAAAGGTCCCACGAGGCATTTGAATAACCCCAAATATTGGGCAATGATAGACACTAACTCAGATAGTTTAAAAGATCCAAATCTCTATTCTAGTCATGAAACCATTATCAAATCCTTCTTATTTGATTAATGGCAAAAAAAAAGAGTCTTGGGATAACTTTATACTGTGTCTTGTCTACCTTAGAATTACTTTGTCATAATGCTTTTCTTTTTGAACGTTTGTAATAATTTTAGCGTTTATCTTGTGTGTTTTGTCTTTTTGTACCTTCACCTATCTATAAATGGAGAAGTACATTGTGTTTGAAGGTAGATTGAAATCAATAAAATTTTATGTTTGTATAACCATGAGTTTCTTCTAAGCTTTTTCTTTCTGAAAATTTTACACATGATGTTTATACACTAGTCATTGACTTGAAAATAGTATAGTTTACACTTGCCTCTTCCAAAGGATCCTATGCATCAAAAAACTTTTTATTAAAGATCTAAGTATGATAAGGATAGTATTCACTATGAATATGAGAAAATGCATGTGGTATGTGTTAGAATATAATGTCATAGTCGTTACTGATTTGTAAGAAATTAACAGTTACATATTCTAGAAAATTAGGATGATTGATTCCTAATTATTAGGTAGATATTAATTGTATTTAATTATATAAATTAGTATAAATTTATACTATGTAAGCTGCATTAGACACATAATACATTCAACAAATATACTTTTCTATATGCTATCAATAGTATAAATTTTTCTATCTGTAGTAGTTTTTTCTTTTTTTTTGAGTGAACAGTACCCTGCAGCCACTGTGCCCTTTTCCTCCGTCACCAAGCGTCCCTTTCCTTTGGTGAGCATTGCAACCAAAACCACCTTCCCCCGACGACCACTAAGCTCCGTTCGCCACTCCAATCCGCCACTGCATACGCGGCTTTTTTCTAGTGCATGTGTTTCACGTGCCCATATCAAACTGTGGTTTTTCCACTTTCCGACATGACTCACTTGCTGGCTCACCCTCACACCTTGGCACCCCTTTTTAGCCCTATTTCATATTTATTTCTCATGGCTTCTGACAGTTCACACTTGAATACCGCCTCTGCAGTGACTTTTACCATTGTTTCGCTGATTTCATATGAAAAATTGACTGGAACGAGCAACTACAACTCTTGGGCTGCTACTGTCCAGCTGTGGTTTCAGGGTCAAGGTTGTGATGACCACATAACCAAATAGGCCAATGATATTCCAAGTAATGATCAAGCCTGATAGAAGCAAATTGATGCCTCATTGTGTAGCATTCTCTGATTCTATATTGTTGTCAAATTGCAGCCTTAATACCAAGTTTTTACTACCTGTTATGATGTCTAGAACAAAGCTAAGAAAGTATACTCCAATGATGTTTATTGCTTTACAATGTTGTCTCTAACCTTATTTATGTGAAGCTGGAAAATCATGATATACAGACCTATCTTAGTAAGCTCTATCGCTTAATTGTTGATTTTGATGCACTCATGCCTTTCACTAATGATGCAGACAAACATGTTGAACAAAGTGGAAAGTTTTTTATGGTTCTTGCACTTGCTAGACTTCCTCCTAAGTTTGACTTTGTCCACAATCAAATATTATCGAACATTGTTGTTCCATCTTATGACACCGTTAGTAAACAATTACTTCGCCTCTTAATTCCTCATATGCTTTGGGCATTCGCTTATATCTTCGACCACTTCATCTGCCTTTTACTCGCACTCTTCCTACCAGGGTGCACGAAGTGGAATTAGTGGTGGCTATCGTAGTCAACGGTCTCGTTGCATTTTTTTTGTCAACAGTATGGCTATACTAAGGCAGAATGTCGTACAAAGGCATAAAAACAACCCACGACAACTAATATTGCTCAGGTCATTTCTCCATGAGCATCTGATGAGGTTTCAATTTCAACTGATGCCTACAATGAATTTCTCCAATATAAGGCAGCCATGTACCCAACCTATCGGCATCATTGCTCAATCTGGTAATCCTATAGCTTTTGTTTCTCAGTCCTCTTCCCTAGGACCTTGGATTCTTAACTCCAGTACCTCTTATCATATGTCTAGTAACAAGTCCCTTTTCTCTCATATATCTTATTTGGACTCTTTACCCTCTGTTACCATGGCAAATGACTCTCAAATAAAAGTTCATGACATTGGTCAAACACGACCCTCTTTTAATCTTAACCTAGATTTGATGCTTGTCCTTTTAATTTAATCTTCATAAGCAAGCTCACTCGTACCCAAAATTACTTTGCTTTTTTTGCTAATAATTTTATTCTTGTTCAGGATTGGCATACCGAACAAATGATTAGAGCAAGACATGAATATCAAGGATTATACTATCTGGCACAATTGGTTGCTTGTCTCTAGCTCTTGAGCATCAACGCTTAGGTCATCCTAGTATTACCAAAATGTGTCTAATGGTTCCAAGTTTTTCTCATAGTTCGTCTTTTCAATGTGAGTCTTGTCAGTTAGGAAAACACACTCGTCATACCTATGGTCTTCGAGTTAATAAAAGTGCTTTGTCACCTTTTTCCTTGGTTCATTCAGATATTTGGAGTCCTAGTCGTGTTAGTTTAACTTTGGATTTTTATTACTTCGTTACTTTCATTGACAATTTTTCCCGATGTACTTGGTTATTCTTTATGAAAATTTGTTAAAATTGTTTTTTCTATATTCCAAGATTTCTCGACTGAAATTCAAAATTAATTTGGCACATCTATTAAAATTTTATGCACTGACAATGCTCATAAATATATGTCTTCCAAGTTTCAATCTTTTCTAAGTTCATAGGGTATTGTTCATCAAACATCTTGCTCTCACATATCACAACAAAATAATGTTGCTGAATGAAAGAATCGGCACTTGGTTGACAATACCAATACTCTTCTTCTTCACCACAATGTTCCTCTTCGCTTTTGGCGAGATGCCATTCTCACAGCATGTTATCTAATCAACTGCATGCCTTCTTCTATCCTTAATAATCAGGTTCATCACTCTCTCTTATATCCACCACAAGATCTTTACTTCATCCCTCTTTGTGTCTTTGGTTCCACATGCTTTGTCCATGACCTTACTCCAGGTAAAGATAAACTTTTTGCTAAATCTCTCAAGTGTATTTTCCTTGGTTACTCATGCCTTCAGAAGGGCTATCATTGTTTTTGTCCTCAACTTCAACAATATATTGTTTCTACCAATGTTACCTTTTTCGAGACTACTCCCGTCTCCACTTCTACTGTATTAGATGCCAATTTTGCAACAGACTCTTTATAAGTCTCATGTATTCTACCTGTTCTGACTCAAGTAATTGCTTCTCCTCTACCTCCATTGCTTCAATACTACGGACAACCTCAAAATCCAGTTGTGACTCACTCCACTAATCCTCAAGCATCATCTCCTGCTCTAGGACGAAGGTTATACAAAGGCAATGCTACAATCACTTGTTATTTTGATGCGGATTAGGTAGGATCACCATCAGATAGAAGATCCACTTTTGGGTACTGTGTTCTTATCGAAGGAAATTTGATCTCATAGAGAAGCAAGAAGCTAAACATAGTTGCCAGATCTAGTGCAGAAGTAGAATATCATGCTATGGCAGCAGCCACTTGTGAGCTTACATGGTTTAGGCAACTACTACTACAACTAAAAATAGAGGACATACATGAAACAAAACTTATATGTGACAATCAAGCTACATTTCACATTGCATCAAACCCGGTCTTCTATGAAAGAACCAAACACATAGAGATTGATTGTCACTTTGTAAGAGAAAATGTGCTCTCTAGAAAAATTACTACTGATTTTGTCAATTCTAGCGATCAGCTGGCTGACATATTCACCAAGTCCTTTGGAGGCTCTTGGATTGAGTACATTTGTAACAAGTTTGATACATATGACATATATGCTCCAGCTTGAGGGGGAGTGTTAGAATGTAATTAGTCATTAACCTTTACAGATTTATAGGAAATTAACAGTTACATATTCTAAAAAATTAGGATGATTGATTCCTAATTATTAGGTAGAAATTAATTGTATTTAATTCTATAAATAAGTATAAATTTATACTGTGTGGGCTGCATTAGACTTACAACACATTCAACAAATATACTTTTCTATAGTATGCTTATAAAGTATTAGAAAATTGGTATCTAAAATATTATCTTTGTGATATGTAAGGGTTTTAACAATAAATACACAAAAAGATCCCTACTGGTGGCTACCTTGGCCACTGAAACAAAACTACAGAGAATTTGATGGTTCTCCCTTTGATAATGGACCGAAGAAACTTCAAATAACCATGCGCTTCAGTCAGATAACCAGAACAAAATCCACCAAAGAATAACTCATGACCAGAAGAAAACATTGTCGACTTACTTTGCATAAGAAACCAACCAATGTTGTCACAGGCAATAAAATTTCAAATCCACACTATAGTGTGATTCAACTATAGATTCAAAATTATGATCTAACTTCAAATTCACCTGCTCTAGTAAGAGCTCGAATGCCTTTGTAAAATGGGTATGGTACAGTCTTCAAATCCAGTCTATCTATTTGCAGACCAGAGAGGGCAACACCCATAATCCTAAAATCCACTTGAAATGTAGGGAAGACATGAAGGCGGTCCAATCCAGTTTCAATCACAAATGTTCCAGACATAGAAGGGGCTTTATCTTTTGGGATCCGACCAATGGACCAGATGCATGTCTTGTCACAACATATAAAGCAGGATTCAAATTATATTGTACCAAAATTGGAGCATAGTAGTTTATCTCTAATGATTTTAACTACTTCCATAGTGAAGAATATAATGTCTATAACACTGCTACTCAGTAGAAGCATAATAATTGTGCAAATTAGGTACCTTTTTAGCAAGGATGTTTACTGTTCCATGATTTGAAGTCAGATCAGCTGATAAGATGTAAGGAGGAAGCTGAAACTGAACAGTAACAGAGTCAATTGTCTTTTCAGGATCATTCTTTATTCCAACTAATACACTAACACGGCATGTCCCACCATCTGAAGTTAACTGCGGTTTTACATATATTGGGGTGCTCTTCAACTTTCTAACTCTGAAAAATGAAATGCTCAAATTGAGAGAATAGAAAGTGGGAATACAAATTTAATGTGAACATAGAATTCAACATTCACAATTACATCTGTAAACAAAATGACTTCTTACATACAGATTTTTTATTAATTATATCTCAAAGCCAAAAGAAACTAACCTTCCAGCATGCTAGTTTCAAATCCTGATTCAGACAAGAAAAAGCTGATGTACCTGTAGCTCATAAGCTTAAATTGTCCATCAGGAGGCACAAATGAAAGAATTTGATGGGACTCCCAAGGCCGAAAACGAACACACGGATGAAATCTCACATCATCTAGGATGGAAGGATTTGCAAATGAAACAGTAAGATCAGGAAGACCTGAGATACGGGAATTTACTTGAACTTCACCATAGATCTCACATTTCACCAAAACCCCATCCCTGTATGAATAAGATTTTCTTAGCAGTGACTAAAAATAAAAGAAAGAAATTATCCACAAGATTCAAACTACTAAAGAGGAAGCTCAACGTGATCTTTAATAAATTTCTATCAATGCAGTTCCAGAAGTTCAAGCTTCCATTGGTCAGTAACATTCATTCACTAAGCTCGCCAAAGAAGATTTCTAGTTCACCAAAATATTCTAGTTAATAAGACCATAGTTACGAAAAGAAGAAACACCAGTAAAATTCTCACTGTTAATTTTAAGAAGTGACATGTGAGAATTAGCATATCGACCTGTTTATAATTGCGTCCATTTCTTCAACAAGGTCGACATAAACTTCATTGTTGGAGTACTTTGGCTCTGCTGTTCTCCAGGGAACACAAGATGCCATAGCCCCTGGAAGCATATCACTCACATTCGAACTGCTGCCAGTCACAACACTCAAGGCTTTGCTGACAAGATTTGGTGGAGCAATAATCTCTTGCAGAATATTTGGTTCTGTAGTTAGGGGGAAGCCGTTATCTGTCATCTCATCCAGCAGCTACAAGAACAAAATAAACTGAGTGGTTTGCATCTAACCAACAAAAAGCAACGGGAAAAACAATATTAATATAGATAAAGAATTTCCCAGGGAAATACAAGAACAAATCACAATTTATTTTCATAAACAAACAATGATAAATCAGCCATTGGAGTGTCAATCAACTAAACCTGAATAGTTAACAGACCTGAAAATAAATAAGATAACCTACCCAAAGGTATTTATGGCACTGAATGAAGATATCAATTCCTATGTAGATAAGAGCTAACTGAAAGCATATTTATGTACTTAGCAGCCAGTTCCATTATAGACATTTTTGGCAGAAGGGTTACAGAATGAACGCCATACAGCCAGCATGTGAACAGCATAAATGCATAACAATGTGATACACCTCATTTCATAAAGAAAGTCTAGCAATGTAAGACTGACTTGAGATAAATACCTCATATACAATGACAAAGTTGTCTTTAATTATGTCTTCGTTCAAGCCACCAAAATAATCATCGAGGACATCAGCTACCCTACAAAGGAACTAAAGTCGAATAATTTAAAAAATTAAGAAAGTTAACTCAGTACCGTTCATGTGGCTTCACATAATGAGTTGCAAAAGAAATACCTCAATGGCCATCAAGGGTGGGATTTCAACTTGAGTGCACGCCAAAAAAGTGATTCCCTCACGAAAAACTTGGAAAATATAATGCGTAGGAGAAGCAATTACCGGTTGTTGCTAAAAGAACCGGAATTCTTATAAAATAGTTAGATCAAGGTCACGAATAACCTCAATAAAATTAAAAGTACGTACAGGGGGACCTTGCTAAAAATTGAAGATAAAATATGAAGAATCGTAAACAAATAGAAAAGGAAAAGCTTGAACTGACATGGAAAATACCTTGAAGGAGTCACCTTGAGAAATGGCTTGTTCCCAGAACCATGTACATATGGAACGATCCACGCGGTGCCCAGAGAGCTGTTTCTCTAGCATCACCTCTCTATGAAGTATGAAATCAAAGTTTTAGAGTCAACAACTCAATGATCGATTTCCATTCATTCAAATTGCAGTCAACAAGTGGAGCAGTAGTTTTGAAGAATATAAAAAGGTGCAAATGAAGCTTAATTTCCTCCAAGATAAAGAATTAACAGTAAGTGTTTATGATTGACTTATCGTACCCGGAATCCGACACAAGAAAGATGCACTGCAACATCCCTCTCTTTCTCTCAGGTGAAGCCAAGGCCAGCGGAGAAAAGATGTGCGGAGGACAGTTTGTATTTGCGGTGAAAGGAGTATTGGCAGGAAACAAGAAACATTGCGTCATCTTTCATGTTGAAATGGATAGGTACAACTAGAACGTGCTGGCCAACTTGGCTGTTATTTGCGAGCCTAGTTAACTACTTTTTACTGTTTAAATTCCTTTTTATAATGCTAAAATTCGGAATAAGTACAAATGTTCTACCAGTGGTTTTTTTATCAGCTTTTTTATTTAAATAATATATATTTAAAATTATTTTATAAAATATGATTTTTTTAATATTTTTTTATCATATGAACATTAATATCATATTTATATGAATAATTATTATTATTATTTTAATAAACTATTGTTTTACTGTGTTTAATAGAGAGAAACGTATATTGATAAATAAATAAACCTATATCAGCCAACACAAGAGCGTCTAATGTTTGATGGTAACGATTGAATCGGGTACACGTATCTTCATAAGAGGAATATTAAACTATACAGAATAATATTATTATTATTGATGAAAGTGCGTCAATATTATTGTCTAGCATGTATTGATAGTGCTAAGAGGCTGACATGTGTCACGAGATAATATTTTATCTGTTAGTCAATGAATGTAGATACCTTTTATTCAAATTATACTAGTTACATGTACTATAGTAAAAATGTTGTAAAATGACATAATGTAATACTCTTGGAATAGCATACAGGTTGGTAAAAATTATAATTTTGTATTTTTTTAATTTTAATATTTAATTATTATCAGTTTAAAAATTTGTAAAAATTCAGATATTAGGGTAGTATTTGATTTAAATAATTTTTAATTGTTAATTAAAATAAAAATTATTATAAGGCAAATAATGTAGAGATAATGTAAATAATTTTTTCATGCATATAATAATTTTTTTTATAAAATTGATAAAATTTTTGTAGATATTATTTAAAAATTATAAATTTATTGCTTTATTAAATAAAATTTGGAAATTAATTAGAAAAAATGTAAATAATTTAATAAAGTATTTTACGGGTAGTATTTTTTTTTATAATTTCTGATATTTTTGTAGTTGTTAATTAAATAATAAATTATTAAAGTGTTATTAAAAATAAAATTAAAAAGAAAAATTCTAGAAATTATGTAAATAATACAATCAAGCATACAAGACTAGTAATTTAATATATTATTTGACAAATATTTTTAGTCGTTATTTAAATATTAAATAGTTATTTTGTATTTAAAAAGAAATTTGAAAAGTAAAAAAAAATGTAGAAATGATTTATATAATTGCATGAAGCATATAAGGTTATTAATTAAAATTTCTGGAATTTTGTATTTGTATTTAAAATATGAAATTAATAGTGTTACAAAAAAATATCTATAAAGTTTACAAATGTAAAAATGACATTTTTTTTACTTTGTCTTTAAAAATTTAAAATATAGTAATTAAAAATAAATTGTAAATTTAGAATTAATTTAAAAAATTAAAACTGTTAAATATTTACTCATAAATAATTTAAATAAAATATAATTAAAAATTATTTTATTTTTAAATAAAATGCACATTATAAAATATTAAATACTTAATAGAATAAGAAATCATACTAAATAATTAAATTTGTAATGCTTTGTTATTTTAGATTGTGATTTGTAATAAAAATGCACTTACTTAACAATTATTTACATATACAAATCAAAATCTAAACATAACAGAGCATTACAAATTTAATTATTTATTATGATTTCTTATATATATATATATATATATATATATATATATATTTGTACATTATATGTTAGTTTGATATGAAAATTTAATGATTTGGGATAAATTTATAACATGCAAATGATTGATTTAATTTATTTGATGAGGACTTAATTTGTTGATGTATTTTGTAATTATTGTATATTAGAATGGTAAAAAAATTTCAAGTAATGAGATTATTATCTTTAAATAAAATATGATTAAAATTGAATGTTGAATAAGTTTTAAGACATTGAAAAAAAAGATTTATGAAAAACTAAAATTGTCTATTATATCTAGATTGAGTTCACGTTTTTTAGTAGATTCAATTGTTAGATAATACGCAATTATGAATATATGTGATGACGAAGATATTGATTGCATGTAAAATATTTTTTTACAATAAAACCAGAGAAGTGGAATTAAAGTATATGCAAATATTGTATCTAGTGAGAGTTTTTCTATTTGATCACAAGGTGTGGACTTAAATTTATCATTTTCACGTGACAATATTTGTGAGGATGATGAACCTCGATTTGGGTCAAGTATAGTCATGTTATTGGTTTGATGATAATTTATATTTAATTTCACTGTAATTATGTTTACTTAACAACAAATTTTATGGTGACGCAAAAAGTGAATACTGTAACATCCTAATTCTCAGTACCCGTGGTCTGCTGAATTTTGACAAAACTTTTGTCAAAATTTAAAATAAAATAAAAAATTAAATTATTAGGAATTATTTAATGTAACTTTAGAGTTTTATATTCATTAGATAATTTGTGATTTTCTAGAATTTTTCTGAAATTTTTAGGAAATACTTAAAATTAGCTTATTTTGCAGGAATCTTAGCAAAAATAAATAAATTTTCAAACTGAATTTAATTCTATAGCAAACAAAGCCGTAAAATTTTAAAAATTTTACGAGAGCCTAATAATATTAGAAAGATATTGGAAAGTAAATTTTTACAATGAAATTTGATAAATTTTAAAATTTTATTTTTCAGTACATCAATACACAGACAATAAACGAACCGATCCGAGAGCAATTTGAGTGAATTAAAATTTTAGTGATTATCCCAGTATTATTCTAAATATTCTACTATTTTTTTTTTAAATTTTCTCTACCTGTTAAACTGAAAAAAGAAATATACATTTACAAAAGTGAAATTTTTAAGTTAAAAAAAAAGATAAAGTAATTAAATTTTTACTTTTAAAAAGTGATTGAAAGAGAGATATATCTTCTACAAGCTTCCCGTGAGTTTTTTTTTATTTCTCTCTCAAATACACTACTCACCTTCAAGCTTGATTTTAAGAGCCAAAATTTGATCTTTTTGAAAAGTTTCAAGAGGTAAACTTGTTACCCTTATCCTCCTCTACACTTGTATGGTTTTATTTTTTCAAAATGGTGTTATTTAATTTTTCCTTCTTACCTGGATGAGCTTGAATAGGAATGGGAAGGGTGTTATCTTGCTTTTATTGTTGTGGTTTTACATCTAGGATACTAGAATCATGCTTGAAATGGAAGATTAGAAGTGGTTGAGCTAAAAACCTAAGAATCCAAATTCTCAGGTCACTGTTCACTAAATTCTGGGATTTGTATGGACTTAATTAGGAGTTTATGTCTTCATGAAAGTTGTAGCCCTTTTAATACTTGAAATTTAGCCACTGATTTCACCTCAAACGGATATTTGTAACTCAAGTTATGTCCATTTTACTAACAGGTGTTCTAGCTGTCACCTTAGGAGGTTGCCTTGTTCTAACAGTCACGGATTTTGATTTACTGGGACTTATTAGTGTAAAATTAGGACTCGACTCCTTCATAAAAGTTGTAGGAAATTATATGCGTGAAATTTAGAAATTGGTTTCATGTCAATATCTTATGTGTAGCGAGAGATATGGCCATATTACTAAGGTATGTTCAGAGTGTTAGTGTAGTTGATCCCTGTCAGAAACAGCCACTGTAACCTGAAAACTGGCACTATTCTATAGGGTATTTGAACTTAATTCCTTCATAAAATTTGTAGATAAATAAACCCTTGAAATTTAGAAACTGGTCTCATGTTAAAATATTAAGTATATCTTGAGTTATGGCAAAAACACTGAACCTTGTGCAATCTGCTCGAAAATTTCCCTTTCATGATTTTGATCAACTTTATTGCACAATATATTTCGAATTAGACTTTGACCTCTACATCAATATTGTAGATAATTATGTTATTAAAATTTGGGCTTTGACCTCATGCCAAAACAGTCTATATAACTCTAGAAAATTCCAAAGTACTGAACCTTGTTCATGCTTGCCATTAAGATTCTTCCTACTCTAAGTGTGTACTAACTAGGATGATTTTTTTAAGTTAAGTGTGGGGTAAATGTGAGCTTAACATATTAAAAAAAAATTGGATTAATAAAATAAAGTGAGTTTAAATTCTCACGAGATTAAATCAGAGAACTATAAGGTTCTAACTAGCGTTTCATTACGTGTATAGATTTCATCGGAAATCAACTTCAAGCGTTAGAGAGAACAAACGTGGACGTAACAGGTAAGGGGTGGGCTATGTAGTAAGGATTACATCATAAACTTATTTAACCTTATTTGTTGAAATTATCTAAATTTTGTTATGATTAATGATTGTGATTTCTTTATATGCTTAATTTTGATAATGGTTTGTTTATGTGTTTGTGATGGAAATATATGTTTGATACTTCATTAAGACATAAATTGTGTTATATGATATGAGTCATCTTTGAGTGGGCATTTATGTGCATGGTTTTTTTTTTATAGGAAAGTTTAATGAAAACAAATTGAAATGATTGAATGATGGATTAAGAACTCTTATAATAATAATTAAAAAAAAAAACCACTTAGGAACTCATACATTATTCATCCAAAAATGGTATTTTGTGCAAAATGGGGAATCAGAGACTATGGACTCTGGGAATACGATGGGGAGGCCCTGAGGGAGGACTTGGGGATAGGAAGGGTAGTGGTTGGAAGCCCTAAAAGGCCCAGGCTTGCTACCTGTTGTCGGGGATCCCACTGTACAAACTCTCCTGTACCTGACTGTGCTCTTGCCGTATATCATGGTCAGTGAGCTACTAGGTTCATATTTGAGTGTAGATCTCAACAATTCCGTGGTTGGATTTCCATACCTAGTAGTATCAACTCCTGGCTACCCCAGCACTAATTTAAGAAACGATTCGGGCCCGCATGCATGGACATTTTAGAAAAACAAACTAAGATCATGCACTATCATCATCATTCATTGGAATGCGATTGATCTGTGAATGTTTATGATGTTTAATTTTAATGTGATGTATGAACTATTGCTCACCCTATCGTTGTTTCTATTTTCTTTATT